GTTCTTTGAAATTCCATAATCTCATTACATATCTTCTCAAGATATTCCTTTTTGGCCCTGTCCGTGGCTCTTTTCAATTCATTCCTCAGTCTCCTGTATTTCCTCCTGCCTTCTTCATTGTTGACATTCTTCCATTTCCTTCGCTCCTCCATTTTACTCATCATCTCCTGTGTAACCCATGGTTTTCTTGCTATCTTCTCAACTTTACCAACCAAATCACTGATAGTATCTAACATGCATTCCTTTATATTATTCCACTGCGCTTCAGCATTTCCGCTTTCACCTTCACTTGCACCGATTTTCTCTTCTAGGGTCTCTTGCACGCTTTGCCTTTGAGCATATAACTTCTCCAAATCCCATCTGGGTCTGCGCTTTCGAAATCCTATAATTTTCTTCAAGGGCTGTAGTAACAAGGAAAAAAAAATGATGCCACATATCATCCACTTGAACTGCTAACGTGATTCAGTGTCCTAAACTTAATGAGTGCAGGACGCCAGGGACAATTGCAGCTGATAAATCTATGGAAAGCATAATTCGTAAGGGGCTGTGGAGCTAAAATTTCGAAACATGTAATTTACAAATAAATTAAAAATTTGTAAGTTTTGAGGTTTTCACGGCGATGACTATGAAGAAAGTCGTCTTCATCACAGCTACTGCTCTCTGCATTCACAAGCCATTCACCTGCTCTGAAGATGGAGGCGATACGTTCCTCCGAAACGTCGGCCAAAACGAAGAATACACGGCGCCAAAACCCAGAAGACGACTTTCTTCAAATTAAAAATTGTTCGAAATTTTACTGCTCACATACATTCACGTCATTGCCTGTCAAACAGAACCTCTTCTAAATTTAAAATTTTGATGCTATTTACATCACTGAAAACTGGGCCTATAAATTTGTAAAGAGCTGCAAGAGAGATTCATCTCCGGATATGTAGACCCTATACAAAGGCAAAGTTATTGCTGTATGTAAATATCGCATCATGAAGGCGTGTGGGGAGTTGAGGTATAGCTCGATATATTCCTAATCTTGGCACTAGATGAATACGAGTTGTTATGCTCACGCCCTAGCCTCTACCCCTCTGGAAAATGGTCCCCGATACCCTTAATGACGCGGGACTGGCTGCGCCAGCTTCTAGTTTTGTTCTGCTACACAGAGCCGTCCTGTCAGAAACGGACCTGACAGATTCTGCAGAACTGCTTTGTCAATATTTCCTCCAGTTCGAAAGATCCTGACAGCAGTGGATCTTTCCATTTTTGCCCACTTCACCTTAAAGACATGTTCTACAGTTCTGTAGTGGCCAGCAACTTTAATTGCCCAACATTCGGCAAGAAACTGATGACGCAAACACCATGAGTTACAGGTGGGCCACAGAAGCTATGGCCCTGCTACCAGTTCCAGCACGCAACAGACAGCGTTTCAGATCTCAAGACGAACTGAACATACCTGTGTTTTAGAGCTATTGACAGCAGCTTGGTGATAGGAAAACGGAAAACGATTGTTTCACTTGGTGACCTGTATATGGACACATCTTTCATTGTTCCAAATATTTTAATCAGCGTTTCTCCCGTAACTATAGAATTTGCTGTTAGGGCAACCACGTCAAAAGCCGGAATAGCTTAGCCGGTTTAGCGATGGGCTGGATGACCGAAGTTGGATTCCCAGCAGGGCAAGAAATTTTTCTCTTCTGCGCAGCGTCAAGACTGGCTCTGGAG